ATATATATATATATATATTGATAAAGTTATTTAGTTATTTTACCATAAAATACATTTAACCTGTCACTTCTACAGAATGAGCCAAATTCTATTTGATAAGTCACTAATCTTAATCCTATGATCAGCTCAACTTGATTTGCCTATCCAATCTGAGATACCATTGGTGCTTGGGTTAGACTAGTTGATTCTGATTCTTGTTTTGTCAAACTCTATATTCAACTAACCTTATACTTTTCTTATTTTTAGGTCAAAGCCAAACCAGAAGATGTTGAGAAATTCCGTGCATCTTTGACTAAATTAGGTGATGTGTATATAAATGATGCATTTGGAACTGCTCATCGAGCTCATAGGTATTTTATTGTTTCTAAAGTCTTACTTAAAAAAATTAATCTTTGCTTTTAAATGCTTTTTTTGTATATTTATTATATTGTTTTAAAATAGATTTTACTTTCACCATGTTATTTGGAATGTTAATAAAACAAATAAAGTAATGTACTTAATTTATTTTAATTGGTTACAAACAGAATAAACTGTTAAAAAGGTATTAGTAAAAAAAAAGTTATTTCTTCTTGCTTTTTCTATATCTAAACAATTACTCTGTTTCAATAAACATTTACACTGAAAAAGTTGTTGAAAAGACCAAAGCAGTTTAGTAAAACCTTTAGTGATAATGTTTGAAATGACCACCAAACAGAGAAACTTTGTTTCCCTATTAATTAAAAGTATTTTCATTAAAAACCTACTAACTTCTGTTCCTTGTTTTATATTATATTTTCATTAAATTTGATTAATTTACTGTTGGAATTTAAGGCTCATTTTTTTATATTATTTTTATCTTATCTGCACTCCTTTACATCAAATGGGGGGAAAGTCTTTATTCTTGAGAAAAAGTTCAAATTATCAACCTACTCACCATTATTTGTTTTTTTATGTACGTATTTTATCATACTAAACATTCATTAGTTAATTAAGTCATTCATCTTGTAAGAAAATGTACAAAATTTAAGTTAATTGTTGTGTATTTGTTGTTTTTTTATTGAATGATGCATGTTTTGATGTTTGTTAACCTAAAACCTACTATCCAAAAAAATATGTATTTCGACCTTTCAAAAGTCCTAATGATTCTGTTTATGGTACTTCCCATAGTAATACTACTTCTTCACACAATTTTATTTATTATTTTTTTATTATATTTTTATTTATTTATTTCAGTTGTGCACATTTGAATTTTTTTAATATTTGTAATATCATCTGGTTTTTCTTGTAAGAAATGATTTTTTTTTTATTTTAAAAGTGTAAAAAATAAGTAAAATAATAAAAAATATTAAATCAAGAAAAGCTTGTCTTCTCTAAAATAGGCATTCATCAAATTTTAGCTGAAATTGTAACTTTAAAAATTTCGTCATTATTCATCTTTTTAAATGTATTAGGTTTTATCTTTATGGTATTGTTTTACTTCACATAGATCACTTTGTTAATGTCTTGTAAAAAAATTCCTTGTACTAAGCTAAATTGAATAATCAAGCTCAACAAGCAATAAATTTCTTTTATAGTCGGCCATTGTGAATTATGATAGAATTTAATAATCAGTACCTAAAACTAATTATTTTCCTTTATTTATTTTTAGTGCCACATTTTTTAAGTTTACCTTTTCATGCGAGCCTGTCATTTAAAACAATTTCGTAACAATGCTGTACAAGTTTTATGAGAGATTTTGCATAAATGCATAATTTTGAAGATGCTTAAATTTGAATAAAATATGTAGTATGGTTTTTATGTATGGCATAAATCTGATCTTTTCTGTGGCCATGCTTCATGTAAAACATTTTTTTTTTTTAATTATGAAAAAATATATATATATACCATCACCTTACATAGATAGATAATTTTATATACATCTATGTAGATACGAAATCATTTTGATAAATTTAAAGGCTCAAATTACTTTAACCTTATGTAAAACAGGAATCGCTTTAATGTAAACCACAGAAATAAAAATTAAGGTCATTCATTATGTTTGTACTGCAATTGTAATTTTTAGAAACTTTGATTTTTTTTTTTAATTGTATTAAGTATGAAAGTGTTTAGTAATTTTATATTTTGCAATTTTATTAGGCCGTAGAATTGAAAAATATATGATCTCTTATTCTTTTAAAACTTTAGTACTTTATTAAATTAAAAATTTGGTTTCATGTACAACTTAACTTAGAATCTACCGTCATGTGTTTATTCTCATTGCTTATGTTAATTTTTTTCGCTTAATATATTTTTGCATGTTTCTTTTAGCTCCATGGTAGGAGTTAATTTACCTCAAAGGGCCTCTGGCTTTTTAATGAAAAAGGAACTGGAGTATTTTGCCAAAGCTCTTGATAATCCTGTTCGACCTTTCTTAGCTATTTTAGGAGGGTAAGTTTAGTCAATTTCTTTTTGAAGATATGATATCTATATATTTTCCTTTAAGAAAATATATTTATTTTATTTTGTAGTGCGAAAGTTGCAGATAAAATACAGCTGATTGAAAATTTGCTGGACAAAGTTAACGAAATGATTATTGGGGGTGGAATGGCTTTCACATTTTTGAAAACATTAAACAACATGGAGGTAATATTTTATTAATTATTGTAAACTGTATTTTGGCAATTAAATATACGCTTGAAGAAAATATTTTGAGTTATTACGATTTAATGAATTCAATATACCTAGATTATATAAATTCTTAACTATTTAACATTTTTAATTTTATCAAACATTTTAATTAACATTTCTTAAAAGATTAGTCCCGAATTCACTTTAAACAGTGCATATTCTAATGATTATACTTCATTTATAAAATAACTTTAGAGTAACAAGAAAATCTGAGTTTTTTTGCGTATAAGTGAAAAATTTGAAAAAGTCAGGTAACTTGAAAGGTCAGGTATGTGACTGTAAAAATAGTTTTTTCTTTTTTTCACTTGCTTAATAAGTGTAAAAGTAATGCAATGTTTAAGAAGTTAAAACTGACTGAAAGGTACTAATGCTATAATGTGAATAAGATGTTTCTAATACCTATTATTGTACTACTATATTATGTAACTTTATCAATGAAAGACATGATTATATTACAGAAATATATTTATAATAACCGTTCATAACTTTAAAATGGACAAAAAAGTTATAAATCTAATTTAAATGAATAAAACAATATGAATTAAGTTTTTACACCACCTTCTATATTTTACTGTTATAGTCACTTGTATAATTTTATGTAACATATTTCTCTGCTAACTGTTGTATTATGTTCTTAAAAAAATTTTATTATTTTTTTAGAAAACTTTCCTAGCTTTTTAATTTTGGTCAGAGTTAATGCTACTTTGTGTTTTATTTTGTGTAGTTTGCAATATATTTAAATGATTTGATAATAATAAATGGACTTTTCACCTCCTAGATTAGTTTGCACCTTATTCTTCAGTTGTATTTCTCCTTTGTACTTACATATTTGAAAAGTTTATATTTTGCCAGTACAGTTTTTAAAATGAAGCAATTGTGTAATGAGCATTTCCAAAAGATTACTGGAAAAAAAAACATTTTTTTAACTACAACTTCGTGTAAAAAAAAATTTTACAAATTCAATAAAATTGTATTTTTATGAGTTAATAATGCAATAGTCTCTGTAGTATAAACTTAACCAGTTACTTTCTGACAAGATGTAATTAAATTAAGTTGCTTGTCTTCAAAACATAGATATTTTTTAAGAGGAAATAAATGCTTAACAAGGAAATTTTGTTTAAGTATTTGTCCATATATATGACTGTTACAGAGTTAAATATGCAGCTTCTTTTAGGAAAATTTATAGCTTTTTGCTAAAATAATAGCTGTACTAATAGTAATAGTGTAATAATTAAAGTTAAAAATTTTATATATTTTCTAATTATTTTTTTCAGATTGGAACTTCCCTGTATGATGAAGCAGGTTCAAAAATTGTTGCAGGTTTAATGGAGAAAGCAAAGAAAAATGGAGTGCAAATACATTTGCCTGTAGACTTTGTCACTGCTGATAAGTTTGCTGAAGATGCAACTCCAGGAACAGCAACTGTAGAAACTGGTATTCCAAAAGACCAAATGGGTCTAGATTGTGGACCTAAGAGCACTGTAATTTTCACAGAATCTATTGGCAGAGCTAAAACCATTGTTTGGAATGGGTATGTAATGAAATATGAAATGCACAAAATTTAAATCTGACCTATCTAAAACAGTAAAAAATAGTGTTCTCATTTGTATACTTTTCAAATGAACTGCATAATAATAATGATATATATATAATATAATATAATATATATGTGTGTGTGTGACATAAAAAGCTTCAATTAATCTTTTTATGTTCTTTTCTGAATATCCTTTTCTTTTATTTTATTAATCTAATCGAAATGCTTTCTCACACTTTTAAATTCACACCCTGTCCTTTAATCTATTTTTGGCTCAAGTATGCATTTAATTAAAAGCAGGACATTTTTCCCTTTGTTCTCTGTGGGAAACTGTTGACCTATTTGATAGACCAATTACAATTACTAAGATTTCCCACTTTCCCTAAATTGAAACATTTTATGGATTTACTTTGCAAGATTTTCCCCAACATATAATCTAGGAGCTCAATTTTTCGTGTACACTTTCATGACTGCTCTGTCTAATAATTAATAAATAAATTTTGTACCCTCCTTCCCTGCCTAAGACCTATTTTAATCCTTCCACTCGGCAACGACGTTATATATATAATATCAGGTATAGGAAAATTAAATGGCAATTTAAAAAAATAAAGAACAAACAAAAAAGACAAATAGAAATGTATGATTTGGTATGTTCTGTTTTAAAATTAGTTGTAAAGTCTGTCAGGAATGACACTACTGAAAAGAAGAAAAAACATATGAAAGAATATCTTTAAAAGAACCAATATTTACAGCAAAAAGTGGGACAGTTTGAAGACAAAAGCAACAAGCATTAAAAAAATATTTCTTTCAATTAGAATAACGTGCAGCTGAAAACATTTTTTTTTTAATTAGCTCTTTCACTCAGCACTGTTTTAATAATCAAATTACAGTATACAATATTTTTCAACCTCCTTTCTTTTTTCAAATGTTGGTCTGTTTTGGAACATTTGATACTTGATGCACAATTTTATAACAGATTATTTGTTTATTTTCAATGATTTAGGAAGAAGATGCGGGAAAATCTTTTAATTGCAATTTAATTAACTTCTAATAAAAATTTAATGCTTGAAAATTATTGTCTAGTAGTGTTTTTTAATGACTAAATAAAAATCTGAAATCAAAAAATCAAATTGAAGAAAAAAAATTTACTCACAAGTAAATATGATGCTATAGTAGTACTGAAAGTAAAAAATTTGTAATTAATAAATGATTATTAAAATAAGTTTAATATCTCATGTGGTGGTTAAAAAAAGTACTCAATATTAATATTATGCCAATTCTCATTTCTAAATTAAAAAATTTGTTTTACAAGGTACATAGATAATTACATTATGGATCTAATATAAAAGAGCAAATAAAATATAATGTTACTTTTGTCTTTAATTTCTTAGTCATAGATATTTTCTTTCACACAAATGCAGTGAAACATCGATAACTCAAAGTGTCATTTGAAGTTAAAAATATATTGAGAGATCAAAAATTCAACTAATCATAATATGCTCAAATTGTGCTTGTTTTAGACAAAAACAGCAAAATGAGAACCGAAATTCATTAAAAGAAATTGTTTTTCAAAAGGAATTTGTTAACAGTAAATGCATACTGCATTTAAAAAATAAAATAAAAAAGTCTTTCTTAATTTTAAAAATATGTTTGGAAGAATTCTGCAACAATTTTATTGCCCTTTTTCACAATTTCTCCCGGATGTTCGAATTTTTTAAAATTCATATTTTTTTTTTCATGTGTAAGGTTTTAAATCAATGCTAAATTTACAAGACTGCTCAAAAAACCCTTACAAACAGCTGTGAAACTGAAGCAAAAATGAATGCTTTCTTCAGTATTTTTCAGTGTTAGAGTAGATAAAATTGTAAATTAACTGTGTGCTTATTTACTACTTTTGATAATGAAGAGAAATTTAGTTAATTTTCCCCCCTAAAATTGTATGTTTTTTTCCTAACCCAATTTGTTTGCTGGAATCGTTTTAGAAAACGACTTATAGATTAGAATTGACAATTGGAAAACAAAAGTTACTTAAAATTAATGAAAAAATTGATTTATCAAACTTTGAGCAATAAAAAAAAATCAAAGTTCAAGCCGGTATTTTTTCTGGGATTTCAAATATACTTTGAACAAAACTTAGAAATTAGAAACTTAGTTAGAGGCGTGTGAGCAATAGAAGTTTGACTGTAATAATTTTATTCATATTTAAAAAGGTATTTAACGAATCTTCAAACTCTATTTAACAAATTGCAATTATTTTCACTGAACTGAAACTTTTTTCTAGCCCAGTTGGTGTATTTGAATTTGCAAATTTTGCTAATGGGACCAAAGCAGTGATGGATAAAGTTGTTGAAGTTACTAAATCTGGTGTTACAACAATTATTGGTATTAATACTTTTCCTTTAAGCTTTTATTTTCTTAATTGTTAATCTAACATTTTATTCTGGTCAATATTTTTCCCAATTTTTTACTATTTGAATCATTTCCCATCACATTTAATATAATGCATATTTATTTGTACATTTAAATAACTCTTGTTTTTTTACCTCTGTTTTGAAATTAAATATAACCTTATTTTAGTGTTAGACTAAAATTTACTTCAAGTATTAAACAAATCATCTTTTATAACTTAGTTCATCAGTAAACCATTTTTAAAGCTCTAGTATTTAATCAATTTCCATGTATGTTTTTGAAAAATAAGTTTAAACCTACACAATATTCAAAACTTTTTGCATTTTTGTTTTTTGAAGTTAATATTTAATTATAGTTTTAAATTATACAGTTAAACATTAATATATTAACAAAAGAATTATACATTTAACTCTAAATAAAAAATCTGCACAGAAAATTATAAAAATTTAACTTTTTAAATATAATATCAGTAAGTCATTATAAAAAAGTTGAATCCCTTAACTTACACATTTTTGAAGGGAAAAAATAGTTTTAGAACCATATTTTAGCAAAACATGGCAAAATTCAATCTAAACTTTGAATTTTAGATTTTTATCTAGACTATATTTTATTTTTGAACAAACAAATGTTAGTTTTTAATTCTATGTAAATAATAAATGTCAATAAAATTACTGCAGGAATGTGTGAAATACAACCTTGCTCAAATTATCTAGAGTGTGCATATCTTGGTCTGTTAAGCATGCTCAAATTGACTTGAGTACACACCTTAAGGGGTTAAAATTCATGGGAAAATATTTTCATGCACCTTGTTCAATTTTTAACAACATTTATAATGTGAGCCTTATTTTGTATTACACCCAGTATAATATACCCAGTTGGGAAAATGAAATCTTTTAATTTTTTTTAAAGTAGCAACTTGTTATTTTTATTTTTTAAGACACTTATAGAAATAAATAATGCATAAAAACAGTTTAGCTTTCTATCTTGTGTTAATGGATTGCATTTTTTTCAATTTAGATAATAAAAATTTTTGTTTAGAATTAATGTATAATAAAGTTCCAATATATTAGTTAATATTAAAAACAAATATTTAATTTTACAGGTGGTGGTGACACTGCAACCTGTTGTGCAAAATGGCAGACTGAAGACAAAGTGAGTCATGTCAGTACTGGAGGTGGTGCTAGCTTAGAACTTTTGGAAGGTATTTTATATTATTTTCAAACTTTTATAGGTATTTGTTTGAATTGTGTAACTGTATGTGAAAAAGAACTACAATGAAACCGCCAGAAAAGGCCATCTCCATGTAGCGACCTCCTCTATTTACAACTGCTTTTGGGAGGCACTGAATTTTTTTCATAGATTTTGTGTTGAAGAAAACCTTTAGGGCAGACCATCGAAGCCTCTCCCAGTGGCTGGGTAAACCACTACCCTAAATGTAGATAAGCTCAAATAAGGAAACTTGAAAAAATATTGAAACAAGAAATATTAACAAAAATAAATAGATTAAAGTGTATAAAAAATATTTGTGTGAGGGCTCTTTATGACAATCTCTGAAAGAGATCTACAACCTCATGTTGCAGTCTGCTATAAATAAATTATTTTTAAGAGTTGAAAGTTAGAAGAAAAAAAAGTTATTTCAGTAAAAACTAAGCATCTGAGACAATCAAACCCATTCTCATCTTTTAAAGCTAATTTATAGTTATGCTTTAAAATTAAATGCAAGCTTAAACAAAAAATATAATTTTTTATTTATTTAAAATGGCTCTATCATTCATAATTGGTAAAATTTTTTACCTATGCTCCGATTCGGAGTGAAGAGGAATATGTGTATGCACACACATCATGTGTAGCAATTACTACGACTGGTTATACGAGGATTACTTTGACTGAATGTTGAAATACGAAATTACAGTTAGCGATCACATCATTGATGCCTCTGTTCAGCCTGATAAAAAATATTTTCACGTTGCAAAAACACCAACATGGCAGTGATAGATGAATGGCTAAATAGAGATGATCAAATAGAATTTACAGGTGCTGCTATTGTTGATATGATCGAGGTTCCAGCAATGCAAGAGGGCAGCGATGGGGCGAATCGGCAGATTTCCCGCAATGAATTAGTCACAGAGATAGTTTAGCTGCGATACGCGGAGCAGCACCAGATCTGAGATAACTCCAGCTGATGATATGCTACTTCGATGATGGCACGAGATTGGTGCGCGAAAAACGAGCAGTATGTTATACAAGAAACCTTAGACAATTATTTTAAAGTACAATAAACTTGATGCTGTAGTAATATAATGAATAATGTAACTTGGTTTAATGCAGTAAATATATCCTGATCTTCCTAATTTTCTTCAACCCTAAATTCTTGAATCGTAAATCCTATATTTTCTTTAAATATAATATATTTTTCAATTAAATACTGAAATTAAAAAATGGCTTCCATTTATTTAAATTTTATGTGTTCAATTATTCGAGTTTCCAAAAGTTTGAAGTAGGCTTGGCCCCGTCCACCTCAAATTATCATAAGAAGAAAGCTTTTTCTTGAGTTAGTTAATATAGAGGTGTGATATTCTTCCATTAGTAGGTACTTAAAATATAAATGTTAGTTCAAAAAACTTTGTTAAATATGATACATATATGGTATATAAATGATCTTATCTTGATATCGATTTTATGCAGATAAAATTTTCCGGGTTTTTTTCTCTTTGTATCTCAGTCACCTCTGATTTTAGTGAATAAAATTGAACAAGAGCCTGCAGTAAAATTGAGAAGAAGAAAAAAATTTGAGTTTCTGCAACAGCATTATCGAAGCATTTCACGCAGGTTGCACCTGCCTATTGAATTGGTTTGGGTATCAAATTTCAAAAGTGGGTTAAATGATTCCTTAACATTTTTAAATGTGTATAGAAACGAAATGTCTGGTGTTTTTTAATTGATCTCTATTTTTTTTTTTGGCAACTTCACTTAAAAAAAAGCATACATTTTCTTGCTAGCAGTTTATTTATTTCATTTATTTATTTATTATGGATGTCTGAGATAGTAATTAATCTCCATACAGTATGATAATCTGCTGCACTCGCTACCGTGTTGTGGGTTTCTGCTACCGGGACCCTGAATAACTTTTGATCTAATGATTAAATTTTGACTTTAACTCAATCTTAATGGTTGAGGGGGTGACTTCAGATATGCTAATTAGTTAGTGCAGGGTGATATTTTAAGTTACGAAATCAGACACAAAATTATTCTTTGCATGGAATTATCTTTGGATAAACGAATTTTTTAATTGTGTACAAACATTTTTCATTTCGCTTAAGCTCTCGAGATATGGTGTATTAAGCAAAAGGTAAAATTAACATTAAGGGTTCATAAATTGATCACTTTCCTGAGATAGTGGCCTATCACTATGTTTTGGTGGTCAGAAATCCAAATTCATCGGGGGGAAAAGGTATGTTTATTCAGAGAAAGCGCGTTTTTGTATCAGATTTCGTAACCTAAATTTTATCTGCTCTAATTAAGTTACGAAATTTAGTCCTACAACGGGAAAATTCGATAATTAAATAAGAAGTCATTCAGGGTGATTTTTTTTTTTTTTTGCACTGTACAGGATAGACCGGAAAATCTAAGGTAAAATATAAGTAAATGACAGACTAAACTATATAAGTAATTTTCTTATAAGAAAGAAATTTGTCAATTATTTTAAGAAATATTGAATAAAAAATATTTATAAACAACTATTTTAATGTGTATGTTGGTCAGTTTGTTTTTTTTATCAAGAAATAAAAATTTATTTGTAAATGAAGATATTAAATATTCTAATTTTAAAACCTATTTATGAAAACTAAGTACATTAATCTATTTATGAATTATATCGATTTATTTTGTGTTCTGGATCGTAAATTTTTATATGAAACATAAAAATGACTTACTTTATAATCAAGTTATTCTAGCTTATCTAGCCTTTTAGGTCCAAATGTAATTTTTTTTAATAAAATTTAACTATAAAAATTTTAAGAGATATTTTAAAATACTGTAACTTATTGAATGATTAGGATTCAATGTGATTTCAACCATTTATAAAGTTATCAAATAAATGTTCATACTTTTATAGGTAAAAAATTACCTGGAGTTGCAGCTTTATCAGATGCATGAAATGGCCCTCATTCCTAGAAGTTATTGATTCTCATTGTCTAAGTCATCTACAAT